GGCGTGCTGTGGTGAGTAATGGTGGTGGCTGCCTGGGCGGGTGGGCGGCCTTGTCCTCTCCATGGGCCGGGAGCGGAGGGGTCCGCCGGGCGGGAGCCGGGAAGCCCCGCGGCCTGTGGGGCCTGGCGGGCGGGCCGCGGCCTCGGGTACAGCGGTGTGGCGAGCGACCCCCTCCCCACACACACCCCGGGAAGGCGGGGGTCGCCGGGGGTTAGGCCATCTCCCCGCCAAGCGCAGGCCGGGTTTTCGCCGCTCGAAAGGCGAGGGGGGATGCGCGGTCTGGGGGTTGGCGCGGCCGCAGCCTGAGCCTTCTTCTCGGCTGTCCCCCGCCCGGGGCTGGCCAGGGCACGGCCCGTCTCCCGTGTGACAGCCCCGGTGGTGGCCTGCTGTGACCTTGGGAAGCGGAGAGGCCGCCTGCCTTCCACGGGCTCCCGCGTGGAGCTGTGCTGCCTTCTGGGTGCCTTGTCTTAGTCTGTGGAGGGGTGTCGGCAGAGAAGAACGTCCGGGGCTGCGGGTGGAGGATTCTGCCGGACCCATAACGCTCACCAAGCTTCTCTGCTCCCAGGGTTGAGGCTTGGATTTGCTTTGGAAGCAGCAGGAGTTGCTGCCTTGCTGTAACGGCGAGCAGGTTTTAATCTACTACTGTTATTTCGAATCGGAAAAAAATAGGAAGGAGGTATGTACATATATAACACCGGTGTAGTTTTGACAAGTCTTAAGTCTTCTGAAAGTGTTAATGTACTGTTATGGAGCAGTGAACTAAACTTCCCTGGCTCTTAAAATTTCCCTATTTTTGTAGGCATCTCTATTTTTTATCCGCCTGCTGCCAAGCTTTCAGTGGGTATCCGAGGGTGATGTGGCGTGTGCTCCCTCTGGGGACTGGCACAAGCCGATAAGCACTCAGCATGATGCAAGCCCTGGACGTTTTTACTGAAGGCAGGCAATTGTTGCTGTCTAGTAATTCCCTTCACTCAGAGGCAGTCTCGCTCGTCTCTCGTTCTTTTCTTCCTCTAAATGAGAACCAAAACCGCAGAGTGCTGGGTGAAAGCTAACGAGATCATCAAGTGTAACTTGGTCTTGGGGCCTCTGTTCTGAAATAGCACCTAACATGCTATGCTGTCCGTAGTGAAGAGGTTCAAATCTGTAACCACAATTCGGGAATAGCATATATTAGTGTCACTTACTACAAGGGTAGTGTAGTATTTTTTTTACGCTTCATTTGTTCAGATTCCTACAACACATCTTAAACAGATTAGATGTGTAGTTAGTGAGTGGAAGTGTTTGGCCTACTGGGTTGGTTTTTTTAAGCTTCAGGAGTAATAAAGCTGTTTAGAGACAGGTTTTCTTAAAGCCTTGCTTGTATGCAAGTGTCTGTGCTTGTAATGTAAAGTTCTGAAAAGGATGTGGTTCATACAGTGTGGGATTTTTTTTTTAATGATTCTTTCTATGTAGCCTACTGGAAGTTGTTTCTCATTCATATTACTCCGAAATATATTTTGGAAGAAAACAGGCTTCTAAAGAAGCACTACAGTAGGTAGAAGAGTGAAAAATGTTCTGTTTACTGATGTATTCTTGAAGACAAGCTTTAACACTCAATGAAGAGCTGATCCGTGTGTATTTGTGTACTTTTTAAGACTCATGCAACTTTTTTGACAGCACCATCAGCGAAGTGTCTAGCTCAGTGGCATGATTCTGAAACAGTGGGAGGTCTTTGGCCCAGTGATTTTACTCCAGATAAGCCAGCTTGTTTTACCTGTGTGCCCAGTGAAATTACCTTGCTGCTGAGTTGAGAACAGAATTCATTTCAATGTTTTATTTGAAAGTGTAATCTTTGTATTTCTGCTTTCCAGCTGTCTTCCTGAGAGATGAGTGTAATTTTTATTTATAATACACTGGTAAGGGGGGCACTTGCACTGGGAACATGACAACCAGATACAAATCTAGCTGTTCATATTCATTCCTTTTCTTACTCATATCTTCTGAGCACCACGTAGAAGTACCTAATGTGCCTGTATCATCATGAATACAGTTTTCTTAGATGCTGCTCACCATGAAGAGAGCAATTCTCTGTTTTGCTTGATAGGTGGGGAGCTGAGGCAGTGGGGAAATATTCCAGCCAGCCTTAGAAACCTGATGGGGACTATGCTTCTATAATCAATGGAAAGGTAATGCTCAATGCTGTTCCCTGGAGATAGTCTTTGCTTTCATTTGGGAGATCCAGGGAGACTGGAAGCTGGAAAGCCTGAGTAGTCTGAAGCTTGGCAGTGATACTGCAGAGGACTTGCCCAATGCAGCAAAACTAAACAGTCAAAATACAAATATGCTATCTCTGTCCTGGGGACGAACTTTTTCTGTCTCTAAGTGGTTTAGAACAGCTAAATGGAAGAGTGGAAGTGAAAGTGTTCATGTGATGCTTTAGCCTGTCACTTAATGTTGTGAATTGTGAATGCTTCATCATTCTCTTCTCTCAGGAGACAAATATCTTGACACCTGCCAGGAAAGAGGGAGACTTCGCTCTGAAGTGACTGATAAACAAGTGTGAAGCATGAGGATCAACTCAGCAATTCAGGCTGCTATTGACCTCACAGCAGGAGCTGCAGGTAATGCTGGAGGGAAATTAATTGCACAAGACTTCAGAGGGACAGTTTCAGTACCATTGACAAGTGTAAAAGCAATTTCTCATTTCTGTAAAAAGCCTTGTATTCTGTATTTTAAGGAGATGGAGGTGAAGCAGCTGACCTCAGCCAGAGTTGTAACTGTATTACTATTGCTCCTACCAGGTGAAAGCCCTGCCAAAACATAAAGGTGTAATCCTGATTTCAGACTAATAATTTTTCAGGAGGAGATTTAAGTTTCAGGGTTAGTTCTTGTGCTTACACGAGTTTAAGAATCAGTCGCATGCAGAGTTTTGAGTGCGTGAGTGACTGAGGTGCTGCTTTTGTCACAGGAACCCTCTCTAATTGAAAAGGGCAAGAGGCTGTCTGAAGGGTTATTGGCTCAGATGACATTCTAGTGTAAATCTTTAAAAGCTGGGAAACTTCAGTAGTAGAACTGATGATCATAAGTTCACTTAATTGACTTACACTTCAGTCTAGTCTGTGCTATAAAGTTTTGCTGGACCAGTTCTGGTGATCTCAAGTGTGGAAACAGTTGCATTGTCTCATTGACACTACCATGAATCAATTGTTAACTCTACCAGGGAAAAGGGGTCTTTTTGGCATTTCTAAGCTTCATCTGTGGTTAAAAAAAGCTATTGTAGAAGTACTGGAAAAGCTTTTGTCATGAGGGCAGGCTTAGCCATAGAGAGACTAGTTTGCAGTGGAAGCTTACATGATGTCCAGATGACAAACATTGAGATAGAATAGTTATTTTGGCAATGTTCATACAGAAAAGGTGGAAAGAAAGATTTATTTATTGTACTGTTGTAATCAGTTTAAACAAGTTAATATTTTTTCTTGTCCATACACTATCTATTACAAACAGTCCTTTTATGACTGTGTTAATGCAGTGGATATGGCAATATTAATGGTGTTAAGTGCATTCAAGGTGATTATTGGAGGAGTTATTTGTCAGAGTGGAGTTAACTTTACTTAGTGTAGAGAGAGCAAGGGGTGATGGATAATGTGAGTCCAATGTGGCACCTTCATAAAGCATTTCATCTGCCACCACATTTTGCTCAGTGGATACCTGCTTCATTAGCTTTTGCAAAATATGTTATTGACTAGAATACACCCTCTTTCCCTGTAAGGGAAGAGAAGTATTTCTGCTATAATTCTTTCATTGCCTTAGAAAAAAAATACTTTTCTGTTAGTCTGTTCATTCCCCTTGGGAAATAAACCAGATATAATAGCTATTCTTTGCTGACACAAAACCCAAAGTAACAACTTAATTATCTGTGCAGGTCTTGACGGTTTTGTGGGTATTCTCAGGTGCTTAAATGGGAGGTGTGGTTGTTTTCCTTCCAGGTACTTCAGCTCAGGAATGCTGCTGTTACCCTTCAGAGCAATGGAGTGCTCTGGCTTAGGAAGTTCTGTCTTTGTGTTGAAGCCTGGTGTGTTTCATCTTGGCTACTACAAGAGCCAAAGCAACTAGCTTTACCTGAGAAATCTATTGCTTGATGGTACAGTTCCACACCCACATTCACTCTGTCAGGGCATGCACTTGAGGTTTGCCTGGTTTTTGGCAGTAGAGCTTAGAGGAACTTAGAAATAATCATGCTGTTGTCTTCTCTGGTATAGTTCTTTCTTTCTTCAGATAAGATGAAGGAATTCAGACCTTTTCCCATGTGACTTCAGTAGTCATAAATCATTGCTCTTGTTCTTTTCCTTTGCTACTTCTGTTATAATAGTTTTACTGTTCCTCTAATATTTTATTTTCTGTATTCTTTCCACACACTGGCTTCATATTGCCTGTGTTCATTGGTGGTGCTCATGTCTGTTACCTGTACCACTGCACCCCTTGGAAAGCTAGGTTCCTCCAGCAAATGCATAACCTGGTTTTACCTTCCTCTCCAGATACTTATCAGCTACTCAAGACTGTAATGACATATCGGGGCAAGTAGATTCTGAGCAAGAATAAATAAATCACTTAGCTGCCTGCGGGTCATAGTCCTTTGCCTAGGATTTGAGCAACCTCTAATCATTTCTTCGATTAAGTAGGATTCTCCACCCCACCCTCTGCCCTGGTCCCATGTTATTATTAGGACTACGTTTGTCTAAATGTTCAAAGAAGGTGGGTTTTTTTATTATTTTTCTAGTTTGCTTTGCTTTTTGTGTTGTGGTTTTTTTTAAGACACTTTACTGCTGGCTGGAAGACTTTTTTTTCTTTAATATTTTAGATATTAACAGGGACTCTTGGTCTTTACCATGAGGCTTACAAAGTTCACTGCTGTAGTTTACTGGGCTGGTTGTGCCACCTCCAGTGGCAGTGTAAGGAGAGCCCTTTCTCTTTTTGGAACAGCTGCTTGCAGTCAACTCCCAATATTTCAGCTGTGCATTGCCAAGACCATTTGTGGTTTTCTTGGGCTCCTTCCAGCAGCCATTATTTTACTATGAATGTGTGGATGCTTTAGGTCCCACCTTTACACAGGAGCTCTAGTGCTTGCCCTGTAGATTAATACCTACCTGACTTGCCTGCAAGTAGCATTGGCAGAGCCCGTCCAGCTCTGCTTTTCCTGGCCTTTGTTACCCCTCCCAGAGCAAGCAGCTCTTCAGAGCCAGGAAGCACAAAGCTTTTAATGATCCCTCTGGTGGAGAATGAAGCTTTATGTGGGGTGGGTTCCTCTGAAAGACCTGAATTACCTCTTTGCAGAGGAGCAGCAACAATGTACCACAAATGTGTTTGCAAAGAGTAAAATTGATTGAAAATCACCCAGTTAAACGAACACTTGCTCACTCTGCTATTCCCCACTTAGAAGAAAAATAGCTAACCTTAATTGGATTCACGTGTTTGTTTCTATTTCAGTTTCTTTACGTTATCTGCGTTTACAGAGAATTATTTCAGTTTCATAGCTGGAAAAACATCTTGTTAATTTGCCCTCTTTAAGGCATATGTGTGTCAACTGCACTTAGCTTAAAGAACAGATTCTGTTTGGGGATGGTTCTTCTCTGTTGCTAAAGAAGCAAAACTGATGCAGTTAAAAAAAAAAACACAATCAAACCAAAAAAAACCACCCATAGAATAAAATCATAGAATTATCTAGGTTTAGGATGGAAAGGACCTTTGAGATTATCTAGTCCAACTGTCAACCTAACTGGTAAAAAACCACCACTAAACCCTGTCCCTGAGCACCACTTTTACCCATCTTTAAATACCTCCAGGGATGGCAATTCCACCACTTCCCTGGGCAGCCCATTCCAATGCTCGATAACCCTTTCAGTGTAAAAATTTTTCCTAATATCCAATCTGAACTTCCCCTGGTGCAACTTGAGGCCATTTCCTCTTTTCCTATCGCCTGTGTCTTGGGAGAAGAGACCAACACCCACCTCTCTACACCCTCCTTTCAGGTAGTTGTAGAGAATGAGAAGGTCTCCCCTCAGCCTCCTTTTCTCCAGGCTGAACAACCCCAGCTCCCTCAGCCTCTCCTCATAAGACTTGTTCTCCAGACCCTTCACCAGCTTCATTGACCTTCTCTGGACCCGCTCCAGCACCTCAATGTCTTTTTTTTTTGTGGGAAGGGGCCCAAAACTGGACACAGTACTCGAGGTGGAGCCTCACGTAAACCATAAAGTTCATATAAGGTACTCTTGCCATACACTTCATGTTGGGTATTGGCTCCTAATAGATTGCTGTCAGTGCACACCGATATTTCTTACTGCAAAAGTGTAATGTTGGCTCTTCCTGCTGCTGAATTGAGTTAAAGCTTGTGAAAGAACGTTGCACTGTGGGCAAAGCGCTTATTGATGATATTGATGGAAATATCTCACAAGTTTTCAGGGTATTGACCTTGTAGTTCAGTTTGAAAAAGATAACAGCTGAGAAACTTTGCCCTTTTGCCCTTTTTTAGCTTATCCTGGACACTTTCTTCCAGTATGTGGGAATAAATGTAAATAAGACTCATTTGGAGTTTTACAGTAAAAAGCTTGAGTCTTTGTTATCAATTTCTAATGCATCATCAGTTCTAGCACTCCCATGGCAGTGTTCCTCTTGTCCTGGGGGAGCCTTTGTCTCACTTGATTACAAATTTTTCAGTTTTTTGTCATTGTTGGAACATAACATCTGATGGCTTCTGAACCACTGCATTAATGAGCAAGGGAAAATGTTGCTTGATTCACTAACACAAGTGATTTGATTGTAAAACAATACCTCTAATCCAGTACCCGTTTATGTACGTGAACTGATTCATTGAGATGCTTGCTTTTAGTAAAGTAAAGAAATGTTTAATTAGAACCAAGCTGTTATTGCTTTTATATGTGATTATTTTTTTTTTTTTTTCCCCCTTCAGGTAACTACATTCACCACTGACAATTGATGCCATTGTGCTAAAATCAGTGCAGTTGTCTTTTCCTGCCGAGAATTCTTTCATCTTGGCTTTCTGTGTGATTTTCCTAATAGTGCTGTTTGTGTGTAGGCGTTTCAGTTGTAATAACCTTCAGCCACCCTCATGACTACTTCTGCTTGCTCTAGGTGGGACAGCATGTGTGGTGACCGGCCAGCCCTTCGACACTGCCAAGGTGAAGATGCAGACGTTCCCTGACATGTACAAAGGAATTGTTGACTGTTTTGTGAAAACCTACAAGCAAGTGGGGTTTCGAGGCTTCTACAAGGGAACCACCCCGGCGCTCGTCGCCAACATTGCAGAGAACTCCGTTCTGTTCATGTGCTATGGATTCTGCCAACAAGTTGTGAGAAAAATTGTTGGAGTTGACAGGAAAGCAAAGCTCAGGTTAGTAATAGAAATGTTTCATATTTTTAAAAATAAATACATAAGTCATGCAGCTGCTACTTGGAAATAGTGTATTGTCAGGGTGCAACTGATGGTCCAGCTCCCCTTTGCCTGTATGTAGCATAATAGGTTTTGGAACATAGACCTTTGTGTTAGGATTTGGTGTGTAGCTACAACAGAGCCATCTGCCTGTCACTGCAGCTGGCTGATTTAGATAATCACAATTTCATTGGAATATTCAAGACCTGGAACACATTACCAAAGGGAATAAGCACTGCAACAACTGAAAGTTGGTATTCCCTTGATCTCTAGGTTGTTCTGATTTTGCTGAGGAGGTAATGGTTCCTCTTACTGGGAGACATGCTAAGGGGAAAGGATGCTTTTCTAATATTACCTTACTTTTTAAATTAATTTAAGTTTCAAAAGCTTGAAGGTGACAGTGGTTAGCGAGGGTCTAATTTTGCACAGTGTGTTGTCTACAGTACTGGCAATAAGGGGTTGTGTAAGGAATGAGAGAAGAAAGTGTTTTAATATTTACTCTGACTCCTCTACCAGGCTGTGCTCTTAGTTCAGAAGATTTCTTGAACCTGATGTGATCCAGTCCATGACTTTGGATTTCTCTTGAAACACTTGTCCAGTCTCCCCTCAAATTCTTCTAAGTTCCTTGCATCTGTGGTGCACTTTGGTAGGGAATTCTGCAGGTGATAATCATTAATTCTGTAACTGGAAGAGGCACAGTTGGTCCATAACCCCTGTCTCTGTGCCAGTTGGGATTTTACAGACCTCTATCCATTGTTCTGTGCCCTTTTTCCCCACTTTTTGTTTTTTTCCTTGGTGGAAGGATCCCAGCCCTCCTAGTTAGTGAGCACTTGGGAGCTAATCCTTTAACTGTCCCTCTTGCTTTTCTGTGAAACTCTTGTAATTCTAATGTGTCTGGGTTTGAGCTCATGAGACGAGCGGTGCGGAGTATTCAGGGTGTGAATGAGTTGTGGATTTTTGCACTGGCATAATGATCATAATCTCTTTCTAGCTAGGGTGGCTTTTCTCCAGGTGCATCACTTTAGAGCTGTCAGTGGTCCAGCAGTCTCAGTGTGCCTTACCGTTATGCATTTCTCAAGGTATGTCTTCTGAGCAGCACTGAGAGCAGCTGCACCTTCTCCATCCTTGTGCTGCCCCACCATGTGTAAAAGACTTCTCAGTAATGCCATCCGTTCAAAGAGTAACGCAAAGTTAACCACCCCAGCTTTTTATTAATAGCTTTGTTCTGCCTCTGTCACGTCTGTCTCCAAATGGAAGTAGCTGAGGAGGCCACGATTCTGCATTTGAGATCTCTGAAATGACACAGGTGGCCTAAGTGACATCACGTGAGGTGTTCTCCTGTCATATGTTAAGATGTGCTGTGTCTTAAGACTGAGGCCTGCTGTGAGGGGAATATGAAGCAATGAAGAAACATGTTAATTGCTGTCTACTTGCATTCTCTTTCAGTGTTTTCTGGCAGTTGAGACCTCTTAGCTGAGACAGAATTGTTTCCACCTTTCTTCTGCTTTCTTAGATGAGGGCTTTTTCTGCTTGCTTAGCTTACAGACCCCTCATCTTTCCTGCTTTTCACTGAAATGTAGGAGGTAGGCCTACCAACAGCATGCTTTGCTTCTTAACCATCTCTTGTGATCCTCCTGGGAGGCAGACCACAGACTCAGACTTGCAGAGGTCCTAGGATCATCTCCTCAGGTGACTGAGGCAGCCTGTTTAAGGTGTATGTAAGGGAGGTAGCGCAGAAAACTTTCAAACAGTATACATAGGTGTACTATACATCTTTGGAGTAGGATATGGAATGGGAATGTCATCTAAATAAGCAGCAAGAGCAAGTGCCTCTGACATCTCACCCTTCTTTCCTTGGTCAGGTACAGGTGCTTCTCAGACCCAGGATGGCTGTTTAATTCATTGTTGATTGAAGAGCCAATAGTGTCATTGCATGGCTGTACTAGGACGAAACACTAAAGGATTGAAGTTGACTTGAAAGGTTTCTCCCTTATTGTTGCTCCCTTGAACTCTTCATCTGGATCATTGTGGGGGCATCTTACGATGTGCCTGTATGAGAGAATTGTATTGACATGGTCTGCAGTGGTGCCCTGAGAACGTGTCATCTCTCCAGGGTGTTTCCACCTATTCTCATTGTGGAAGAGTTGAGAAGCCTTTGTAGTGTGCTGTAGGGAAGGGGAGAAACCCCAATGAGGTGGCCGTCCTACAGACATGACAAGTAAAGAATTATAATTACCTTCATTGCCTCTGTTTTAAAACTGTTGTGCCTGTCTTAGCCTGAAGAAGAAAACGTGTCAGATGACAAACTGAGGTGAACCTCAGTATTTGAGGTGAACTGTATTTCTTCTGCGTATCTAAGCAATTGCTTCTCACTTTTCCATTCTTTCATGTTTGCTATTTCTCAAAACCAGCTATAATGGTCTGGGTTTGCTGTAAGTTACCTTTTCAGTTATACCTTCAAATGGCTTGGAAACAAGCTTGCCCAGCCTGCCTGTGCTTAGGGAGACCCTGCTCGGTGTGCGAAGCCTTGCAGAACAGTTACAAAACACCACTTTTTCCAGTTAAAGAAACACATGCTGCTGATGCACAAGTCAGAAAGAAAACAAGTGGAGAGAGAAATACTTAATTTCATTTATCTTTTACCATCCATTTAGTCCAAACAAACTGATTTCATTCCATGCCAAAGTCTAAACTGAGACAACCAAACGGAAAGAGAAGTGCTAAATTCCATTTGTCTTTAAATGCTAAATGCTTTTTTAGTCCAGCCAAACTGATTTCATTCCATGCCAAAGTCTAAGCTGAGAGAATTATTATCCTTGTTTACCTCAGTTTGACTTTCTCAGTATGTGACTGAGCATCTCCAGCAGGCTATTTTCTTTGAAAAAAAGAGCTAAATGCCTTTTATAGAAGAAGCATCTGCGTAACAGTAGAGGATTCTTGCTCCTGTGCTGCATGATCAAAACTCTCCCATCCGGAAAAAACATTGAATTAGGCATTTTGAGTTGAGAGGGAACTTGAATGGGATTTAAGGCTTATCATTTCTGCGATAAGGCCAACTATATTAAAGACCAAAGCCTAAACAGTGGGTCTAGTTGAATTTTGGTGTTCAAGATCAACAGGTAAAAGAATTAAAGATCTGAATTATGGCTAAATCTAGTCCTTTATATATGTGCCAGAATTCTTTTCAAGACTGGTAGGATCTGTTGAGGTGGTTTTTTCCCTCTCTTGAAGGCGGAAGGCTTCTGTACACTCTTTATTGCATAGTTAGAAGGCACCTCTTCCATATTTTCCTTTCCTAATTCTTCAAAAGTGTAACCTCATTGCCTTGCTCTAGCTCGTAGCTTAATGACTGCAGGGTTCAGCCACGTACTATATTTTTAACTCTGCCTTGCTCTGTCTTCACCTTCAGTGGGTTGCATCTCAGGTCCCTGTTACACCAGGCCGTGTGCGTTCTGCAATCAGTGTTGCCTTCTCTTAATTACTGCATATTATTCAGTTGCTGCTCTGCAGGGGGTTACCGATTCCTTCCACTTGGACAGTTCTTGTCACTGCCGTATCTGAATCGTGTCATGAGCTTTGCTTCGTGTCACAACTTTGATTGAAGGGGAAAAGTTGTAGCTTTAAGCTCTGGTACTGTAAGTGTATAAAACTGCTGGGCACTGGGCTAACATCTCCTTGGCATGGAAGGACATTCTGTGCAGCAGCAACGTCAGTCTTGGCTGTGCTGACTCCCCAGGCTCTGAAAGAAGAGCTTCTGTGCTGTCGTGCAGCTCCTGTCCAACACACCAGGGCCGTAGGAGCCTATTTTAAGCATATATCATAAAGGAGTATCATCCTGGAGTACCAGCCTCTTGAGTCCTGGCAGCTTAGCAGCCCAGACTTCACCATATGTGTAAAATCACTGCAAAGCAAGTCCCAGTTTTGGAATCCTGTGAGTCAATGCAGGCTATGGGGCTGTCCTGTTCAGTGGTGCCGTTTATGTTTGGCCACACTCTCTCGGATTCACACAGTTGCATTCATGGCGCCACATCCATGGAAAGATTACAGTGGTCCATTGTGCCTTGGTTTCAGGTTTCTAGCATCTTCCACTGAGAACCTGTATTAATACTGGTAAGGTGAATTTGGGAACAGTGACATCTGCATGAGGTAATCATTGTTCTTGGTTTTGTGTTTTGTTTTTTTTTGAGGAAGTAATTAGTACCCAAAAGTTGCCCAGTAAAACAAATCTATGGAAACTTTTATAAAAGCCAAGAGGGGAAGATTTGACAGGGTTTGTTCTGCTGCAATCACTAAAGTATAGCAAAAAAGGGTAAAGGTAGCAATTTATCTTCTCAGGTGTCAAAATGATATATTTGAGTTGTATATGAAGACGGGATGAGCCAGGTTTTTCATTTCCCTAGTTCAAGCAACTGCCCTTTTCCCTTGAGGCTCTTTCCCCCAAGACTGTCCATCAGTTTTTCTCGATGCTATTTAGAGTAGAGGATCAGGGAGCTGATTGCTGGTGCGGTGCCTCCGCCGCACTGCGGGTCAGTGCCCAAATACCCTCTGCAGTTTCTCTCTTGCAGTGACCTGCAGAACGCAGCTGCGGGCTCCTTCGCCTCGGCCTTTGCCACCCTCGTCCTGTGTCCCACAGAGCTGGTGAAGTGCAGGCTGCAGGCCATGCACGAAATGCAGCTGTCAGGAAAGATAATCCAGGGACACAAGTAAGTATACACCCTGCACGGTGTCTCTGAAACCCGTTTATGTCTATTTATTATTTTTAATTCTGTATTCTTAATTCGGCATCACGTTTGTAGCGCACTGTTAACCAGAGAGGAGTTGTGGCTGGGAGTGTTGCAGCCTGGAAGTTTTTCAGGCACCAGTGAAGGGCTCCTGGCAGGATTTTATTCCAAGTCTTACCCGAGTCCTGTTGGCTACACTGTGGATCTAACCCTTGATTGTCGCTGCAGTTGCCTGTTGTTCTGTAACCTTCTTACTGTCTGGCTATTAAGCATCACTAACCGGATCAACCTCTCTCTCAGTACAGTTTGGTCAGTAGTGAAGGGTGTGATTCAAAAGGACGGTCCCCTTGGATTTTACCGTGGGCTGTCCAGCACTTTGCTGCGGGAAGTCCCAGGCTATTTCTTCTTCTTTGGAGGATATGAACTGAGCCGGACCTTCTTTGCCTCTGGGAGATCAAAAGATGAATTAGGTATGGTCCCCCTTTTTCCAGCTGGATTCTAGCCTGATGTCATTGAGGACATAAAGGAGGGAGGGAGGCTAATAATGTATAGCAGTTGTAAAATATGCATAAAATAAAGGTAACTGGGCATACAGTTTCTAGAGATCCACATTTTGTGACGTGTAGTCATGAGTTATTAAAGTAATCAATCACTTTACAATGGAGCAGAATACAGTGAGCTAACAGTAATATTACAAAACTACTTAAATATCTGACTCTATAGTGTAACGCAAGTCTGAATTATTTAATTTCAGCCACTGCTCAGAGCAATTTGCATGCCTTTAGCTGTATTCTCTTGAACTGCGTGTTCAAGTGTATGCTGAAATGTACGCTGACCGTTAGTTGTCATTACAAGGACAGTAAGAGAACACTGAAAATTAGATATGAAAAAAAAAATGAGATGCCAGAATAAAGATTGCTTGTCTCCTGTTGAAAGACTGCACAATCACACTTTGTCTTGCTGGGAGTGAGGATTTCAGCTGTATGCATTCTGGTCTTTGTTGTTGCAAAATGTTTATAAACATCTGAGCTATAACACAAAATGAGTTTGCATCATGAAAAATGGTTGATCACAAAGAAACTTCACTGTACCAAGTAAATCTCTATCTGTTACGCTATGTGATTGTTACTCTAAAACCATTTCACAGTTAACGTTGGAAAGTTGAAGTGGAAAGGAGTGGAGTTCATTTAGTTAATACAGCCAAAACAGAATCTGAGTTATGCTTTTTTAGCACGGCCCATAAAGGAGAAGGCACTCCTTTTAACCTTTGAGCTTCTAGTTAGACTTGCAACTTACCAGTGGCTTAAAATTAACTTAAAGGTTTGCAGGGGAGTGGAAACTGCTCTCTTGTCACAAGCAGGTTCCTCTGTGTTCTCTTTGACTTCTGTAGATGAAATAATGTGATATTTATGTACTGAATATGTTGTGGTGTGTATTAAAGCTTTTTTGTTTTTAACTGCAGGTCCCATTCCTTTGCTACTGAGTGGTGGTTTTGGGGGCAGCTGTCTGTGGATCGCTGTGTATCCCGTGGACTGTGTCAAATCCAGGATTCAGGTTCTTTCAATGGCTGGAAAACAGACGGGCTTTATGGGAACATTTGTAACTGTTGTGAGAACTGAAGGTGAGTGTGCAGCGTGTCGGCTGGATCTGCAGGGCTGCAGATGGAAATCTATACCCTCCAGTACCAAAAATTGCTTAACAAATCTAGTCCACTGATAACGTATTGGAGATGGACAATAACTGTTTCTAGCAAGCACATTGATGCTTCAGGCAGTCTGGAATCTGGAATCTAGAAATTGAGACCTGCACCTGCTGTGCCTCTTGGTTCAGGAGACCATTCACTTAAAGCTAACAAAAGCTCAGTCTGCATTAAAAGCAGATAAAGGAATGAGCTCCATTACCCATAACCAAACCTGTCCATGAAAATTGAGGGAACTGGTTCAGTACAGAATTTTTCTTCATCTCTAGAAGCTAACGCAGCGCTGACTGAGGGCTGTTTGATAAATCAGTCCTGTCTACTCTGGCAACTTGGGGCATTGACCTCAGTGTCTCATCTCTGCAAAAGGCCTGCACCAAGCACTTCAGAAGATGGTGTAAGAACGTGCATGGCAGCAGATATGAGTTCCTGGCCCTGTTGCTAGAGAAGATACTCATCAGAGCAGGGGTCTCACTTGGGACACAGCTCCAATGTAGTCCTGCTGTTCTTTCTGTCCCCTTGCCAGCTGTGGTACAGCTTCTGTGAACTGTATCCTCAGGTGACCAAGGTACACTTCTGAAGACCCTGTCATACCTGAGATAAGCTTCTAACATAAGCACTTAAATGGCTAAACTCATGTTGCAACTCCAGATACTCCTTCTGTAGCAATATCCAGTAACACCGTGGGCAGCAGGTACCCGTGTGAGCTCAGCTCTCCGTGTCCATGCCCCTCTAGGCAGCAGCATTACTTCAGTGTCCTCTGAAGGTAAAAGCACAGTGGTTGATGCAGACAGCCAATTTAATCAATTGCTAATTGGCTCTCATTTCATTTCCAGGTGTACTTGCCTTGTATTCTGGACTGAAGCCAACTATGATCCGTGCATTCCTGGCCAATGGGGCACTGTTCCTTGCCTACGAGTACAGCCGGAAACTGATGATGAAACAAGTAGATTCTTACTGACATCTTCTAGCAGATGGAGAACAAAAGGTTGCTCAAGGATCATTTAAATAAACGATCAAGAACCTGGTCTGAGCAGGGCCAAATCAGTGACCTAATTTTAGGAACTCAACACCAGTTTAGGATTTGTAATCTTTTAAATTCAGGTGATTTTTATAGAGATGTATATGTGCTGCTTGAATTGGACCAGCAGAGCCATCTCCATCTTGCAGTTTCTGCACGAGGCACATTGCATGTCAAATGTATTTTACTGACCTGTGATGGTGCTAAAAAGACTTACTTATGTTGACCTGTTGGGTTTAATGTAACATGCAGCAGTCAGCTTGATTCCTTTAGGAATGTTTTAAAATCTGTGCTGTGGTGGTGAACTTTCCCAGTTGGTGTTGGCAAGTCTCTGAGTCACAATGACAGAGGTCCTGTCCAGACATAACCCTTCACTGAGACCCCTGCCCTTCTCCAGCTCCCTTCTGCTCCGTGACTTTCAGGTTATGGCAGTTGGTACCTAAAATGTGTACTCTCCCAGCAAACGTGCTTATAAAAGTAAGAAGTGTTTACCCCCTCCCTTGTATGACTTAAAGCCATAAAGAGATAAAAACATATAGTTACTGGGTTTAAGGAGACCACGCAGCATTTTATTATTGTTGAAGTCCTTTCAATAAGTGCTGGAATACGGGAAGCACCACTGAATTAAACAGTGTGAGGGAGACTGCTGGAAATAGCTGCTGGCTCTGAGTGCAGAATTGTAGCTTTGTGCAGGCTCCTGTTTGGGTCACCTTGACATGAGTCCATGTGCCTGAAGGAGAGGAGGCTGAAGAAGAGGAGAAAGCCAGTTCTTAAAGACAACTGACACCGTAGTCTCCATGGTGTAGCACGCACTCGCTTGGGCCGGTGTCCTGCCACTTGCTCTCCTGCTTCAGCTGAGTGGAAAAAGCTCATGTGACTGGATCATTTGTATCACCTTCAGGCCTGGAGGGCATTCCTGCTTGGTCATGTTACTTGATTAAACATGCCGTTAGTCAGTGTTAGCCAAAATGATGTAGTAACACCTATTTCTAGATGCCACTCTCCTTCTTGAAGTAGGATGTTCTTTATACAAGCCTTGCAAGATGCAGCTACTGCCTATCCTGGGAGAAGACAAAGCAGGGCTCAGAGAAACACAAACTATGCCTCAGGCCTGGAGGTGCACAGAGGGATGTCACCTGCATGCTGTGACAGCCCACCATGATCACCAGAGCTACACAGAGAGCAGCAGCTTGCCACAGCAACCCCAACTTGTCAGTGACAAGTGCCAACAGTCACAGCTGGAACAGCTCAGTTTTGCACATTACAGTTTCCCTTTCAGATCCCAGAGCCAGGAGGAAGCTTTAGGCATAGACAGGAGCATCTCATCACCTGCTGCCTCTCACAGTACAGCCAGGGTGAGCTTCAACTGGCTGCTCGTTCATGTAAGGTGGTTGTGGCAGTTCTACAAACTCTTCTTGCTTCCCCAGCCTTCACCTGCAGCAAGAACGGTTCATCTCCCTCTCAGTCACCCCGGAGAAGGGCAGTTAAAGCAGGACACAGCTGAGGAATCTTCTGTGGCTGTTGCACCAATTTACCCTGACTGACCAGTACAGTAGGGGCAGTAACACTGTGCTTAGTCAGTATTTGAAAAGAATTTATGCCAAATGTTTAAACAATTCAGGTACAAGGGTGAGGCTTTAAGAGTTGTCAGACTTCCCCTTCTTTTCCAAGTTGTCTACCCAAGAGAAATAGTATATTTGTATATGTTTCTAATAGTTACAAAAAGGTGAGGCCTGATTCCACACCAGTGGAATGCTCCAATCTATTTCTTAGATTTGTCTTTGCTTTCATTTTTTAAAGCTGATGGTTGCAGTTTATAATACAGAAGTTGAAGCTTCGAGAGAAGCAGGATCTTTGGTGGCTGAAAGAGACCTGCATTGGGAGGGTTTACCTTTGGGAGGCTGTGTAAGCAGTGATCTTTCCATTCACAGCTGCTAAAGCTGTACACACATATCAGTTGTTCAGCTCAGAACTTTGTATGTTGGTATTGGAATTCAGGGGAATAAAGTTTGATTTCATTAATTGAGTGCCTGGCTATTGCTTATGCAAGTACACTTAACAAGCATCTAGCTGAGGAGCAAAGAGAGGTTGAAGTCAGTGTTGCTGCCCCTCCAGAATTAAAGGAGAAGGCTTCTGCAGTCAATGAATGTATAAACCCCTCAAAACTGAAGGGGAAATGCCAGCTCTAACCAAGTGCTATGAAACAACTGCAGGTTTTACATCATCTACTCTGGAAAAGTAAAGCCTGGTGCTTTGTTTTTTTTACTTTGTAAAAGTAAACTTAAAAAGTAAACTTTTACTTTTACTTTGTTTTTTTTACTACCAAAATCAGTTCCACTAAGAAGGTTCAACTCTACTGTCTACATTGTTGATTACCATGATATATGCTATAAGGTTAAATTTCCTGCCAGAAGAATACCAGGAATCCAGGACAGGTCACCTGAATTCCACATAGATAAGGGATGAGTGTCCACTACCCCGAAGCCAGAGGAGGTCAGTGCTGCAGGGGGCTCAGGAACTGTTGTTACCACCTTCTGAGCAGCAGTGCCTGGAGCTCTTCAGAGAAATCCATCTCCCTCATACAGCTATTTTGTTACTCGTTCCTGCTTATACAAGAGTTTTCACTTAACTGTGTGCTGCAGCTAGAGAAGTCCAACTCACAGCCTTTGCTGCTGCAACATGAGATGAGCTTGCTCCAGAAGCAGGAAGAAGGTTCACTTTAACTGCCCTGCAAACTATCGGGAAGGGCATCCTAGGACAGCAATATCCAGTTCTCTGAGCTAAGCCAAAAGGAACTTCAGTCATCAGCCCACTCCTAGCTGCACTAAAATGGCATCCTAGCCCAGCTCCTCCTCCATTCAGTGCCCACCCAGAGGCCCAGGCTGCCCTCCTGCTCCATCGCCCTCTAGGGATGCAGCTGTGGTCTTCCTCCTGGATAAGCAGGCAAGTCCTCCCTTTGCTCAAGTCAGAGATGGCAGGGGTGGCTTTAAATTTAGCAGCACCCCTTAACCCTGAGGGGCAGTTTATGCACAATAACACCTGCAGCCCCTGAAGCAGCGCTAGTTTGGGGGACAGCATTGCAGAAGTTGACCATGAGCCAGCACACCCTTCCAGGAGAGCCCAGGCTGCAGCAGCAGGCTCTGGAGCCAGCAAATAGGACAGCTCTGACCCTCTACTCATACCTCCAACATCTGTCAGATCAGACATGGAATGCCACATCCAGTTTCACTTTCATCAGTGTAAGAAAAGCAGTGACACACTGGAGCAAGTCAAGTTGAGGGCAAGGAGGATGGATGGTAGAGAAATTAACATTTTTATCAATGATATAGACAGGGAGATTAAAGGCACCATCAGCAAGTTTGCGGACAACACCAAGCTGTGTGGTGTTGTCGATACACCAGAGGGATGGGATGTCATCCAAAAGGACAGGCTGGAGAGGTGGGCCCAGGTGAACCTCATGAGGTTCAACAAGAGCAAATGCAAGGTTCTGCACCTGGGCCAGAACAATCCTCACCACCAATACAAACTAGGGGGTGAGGTATTGGAAAGCAGCCCTGAGGAAAGGGACTTAGGGGTTCTGGTGGACGAGAAGCTGGACATGAGCAGGCAGTGTGCAGCTGCAGCCCAGAAGGCCAATCGCATCCTGGGCTGCATCAAAAGATGCGTTGCCAGCAGGTCCAGAGAGGTGATTCTGCCACTTTACTCTGCTCTGGTGAGACCTCACCTGGAGTATTGTGTGCAGGTCTGGAGCCCTCAATACAAGAAGGACATGGACCTGATGGAGAGGGTCCAGAGGAGGGCCACAAGGATGATCAGGGGGTTGGAGCACCTCTCCTGTGAAGACAGGCTGAGGGAGCTGGGGTTGTTCAGCCTGGAGAAGAGGAGGCTCCGGGGAGACCTTATAGCGGCCTTCCAGTACCTGAAGGGAGCCTACAGGAAGGCTGGGGAGAACCTGTTTAGAAAGGCCTGCAGTGACAGGATGAGGGGCAATGGCTTCAAGCTGGAGGGGAACAGATTTAGACTGGAGATTAGGAGAGGGTTCTTTACTGTGAGGGTAGTGGAGCACTGGAACAGGTTGCCCAGGGAGGTGGTTGAGGCCCCATCCCTGGAGATATTCAAGGAGAGGCTCGACGAGGCCCTGGGCAACCTGGTCTAGTTGGGGGTGTCCCTGCTGACTGCGGGGGGGTCGGACTAGATGACCTTTGGAGGTCCCTTCCGGCCTGGGCAATTCTATAAAAAAAAAAAATCCAAGTTCATTCTCCCACAGCAGAAAGCTGAATAGGTATCTTACTGCTGTCTAGAGTCATCTCATTCATGGGAAGGGACTGAGCCAGGCTCTTCACAGAGTTACACCAGGGCAGGACAAGCTGCAACAGCTACAACTTGGAATATGGGGAATTCCAACCAGGAAGGAAAAATAGTGGTAAGATCAAGTCTTTTATGAAAACTCTTATCTGTGGGGATATACAGAACTGATCTAGGTTGTGTGGACTACAGGTATCTAAGTGACCCAGGCTCACTCTCTCCTCCACCTAGAACACTGCTGGTCATTCAAGACAAGTTCCAGCCTCCACAGCTGAAGTGCTGATAGAAGCTGCTTCCAACACTGGGAGTTTCCAACAGTCCAGCTCTTAAATACCAGGTAATTACAGTAATTAAAGGTAATTGCACAGCAATAAATAACAAAAGCTGAGTCCACACTGCTTCACAGTATACCACTACCCTCTAGTGAGCACAGGGAAAGTATGTGATCTCTTTACTTACTTCATTAAGTAGGTATTGGCTGTGGAAAGCTGTGTCGCTCCCCTTCCACTCTTGGTTCCTAACAATGAAAAGATCAAGGAAGCAAGAGGACCAAGATGTACACGTGAACCTCAACACATTACACATCAAGGAAGACCCAAGCAGTCCCCACAGAAGAGCTGCACTCCCAAGAAAAGCTGGAAGCAGAATAAGCATCTGGGAAGTTTGCACATTCCAGGTCTTAGTCCAGCTCGAGGGGTGAGTGAGCATTTGCAGTATTAGCCCAAAGGATAAAACCCATCACCTGCAGGTACTAAGGCAAGCCTGGCTAACTCACCCCAGGCAGCTGGGACACTCCTGAGCTGATGACATCCAGACCTAAGGAAGGGTTGGGAATGTGGCCATCTCTGCCCTTTGATGGAGTTAGAGCAGCAGAGCAGCAGCTGTGCAGCCTCCAACCCCACATTCAGCTCCCAGGCCAGGTGTTGCCCAAAACCCTACATCAATGAACCTCATTGCATCAGAAATCCAATGCCAAGACTCCCACTTAAGAAGTGGTCATCTGGCACAGGTAGATTAATCTTTCTCCCTCCAAATTCCCATATTCTACTGACTTTGGAAAACGCTGATGCTGAGGGAAGGCATGTCAGATTTTTCCAGCAGTCTCCTGCAGAGTGCTAGTCTTCACCCACCATGAAATTAATGCTCTTTAAGACAGACAATTGTCTTAAATTAATAAAGTAGGGATTACCTGTATGTAGGGACATCTAAGCTCCAAAGGATCCAAGAGCTCATTGACATGACATGCCAGCTCACACTAAGGAACTCTTCAGACTATTATTGCTCTGCACAACAGAACTTCATGTAAGTTTATTTCAGGAGTTGTATCTACACAGAAATACATTAAGTACACCAAAGTGGGACTGCTTCACTTCATACTGAAGCAGCAAGACATCATTCTCCAGGAAAAGAGATAAATTTTATGCGTTTCCCTTCTTTCAGCTTTCCCTTATGGTTCAATAAAGTTCACCTCCACAGCAAATGTCTCACTATAGACTTTCCACGTTTTAGACTTGTGAGGATTATCCAGCTCATTCCTGGGAAGGTAGAGCCTGAAAGACAAAAGTTCAGGAGTAGATCTTACAGCCTAAGACATATTTGTCCTTTCAGCCAAGTCAAGATAGTATTCCAGTGCTGAGCTTGAAGTTAAATATAACGCTAGATTTTGAATTCAGATAGACATCAGCCATGCATGTACAGGGCTTTGGATCTGAAGCAGTCTGAGAAACATACAGTAAACCTGATGGATTTTTGGGCTTTTAGTCTTTTTCCCCCTCTCTAAAGCCCCACAGCACCAGATTGTCAGAGTAAAATTAGTGTTATGTTCAGCTCAAGGCCTCCTGATGGGATGCAAGTGGCAGGAATTTAACTGACCACCCTACCAGCAAAGATTTGATTCAGTACCCAGTCAAGTTCATCAGGTGTGTTCTTCACATCTAGTTTTTAACCAAATTCATGTCAAATTGCCCATCAGCTGTGGCTGAGTTAGAGATACAGAGGTAGGAGCACTGCCTTAGCAGCTCTTTCACTGCTGATCCTACTCCACATTATGTCTGCCAGGCTTCTCTGGGCAGAGAGGGTTGGGCATCCTCCCTAGCCCTGGAGGAAGTGAAACACTTGGCTGAAACTTTCAAGACAGCCTGTCAGACAGCAGGCACACATCTCTCCTGGCACTGCTTTGCTCTAACCACGTCTGCGCCTCAGCTGCAAGGTGCAATGCTGCCTCAGCATATTGAGTTTAGAGTTATGAACACAGACTCATGGCTACCTCTCCACATGTTCTGATGGGATCAATTAAATAAGTTATTTCCTTCCTATTCTAGTCATGGGAACACAGTAATTACATCAAATGTCAAGTTCACCGTTCCTCTGTCTAAATCTGTCAAGTTTGGTAGAGAGAAGAGAAGGATCTCCTGTCTGTGTTTTTACATCACTCCTGTAGCAAGACAGACAAGCTCAGTTTTCCCCTCACTGGAGCTCTCCCAGGAGTTCCAGGCTCAACAAGAAAACCCACAGTAATTTCTAACTTTAACAAAAGCATGAAAAGCAGTAGAAGAGCCTTTCTTTGGAATCCCAAGCATCAGTACCTCTAACTCTGGTCTTAATGTTTGCTTGCTAAGCTGCTGAATTAGTTCCAGCCTCTCAGGCAGCCATGCACCAGAACAGGTTGCCCAGAGAGGTTGTGGATACCTGTTGTCTGGAAATGTACAAGGCCAGGC